TATAAGTTTGACTGTCATAGATGACTAATTATTAATCTGTATTTCTTAATTATTCATTACAATTTAAATGAGTTACATAAACATAATACCTTAAATAAGAGTAAAAATACACATATAGTCTAACAAAATTAAATTTGTATCAATAAACTAAAATCCACACCAATGTAAGATATTTTTAATCAAGTTGGTACTCTTTATCCTATCATATCTATAGTTGCCATTTCTCCTTATCTTGTCATATTTCATAATCCCTACTTTTCATATCTGTTCTATTGTCTGTCCAGACACTTTTCATTCTTGAGCAAACCCTGTGTCTCCCAAATGAATGAGTTAGCCTGAGCTCGTCTTCCTCCCTTGTCCTTATAGCAGCTCAACCGTACCAACTCCTCCTGTTTCCTTGTTTGAAATCCTCTAATTGTCTCACGTTTGGCAAAGCCCAGCACATTTGGAAACTCATGAGGTCTCTACATTCTTCTCTGGCTGATCTTCACTGCCTCTGAACTCTTGCCACTCTGGCCTCCTTGCTATTCCAGGCAGCCATAGCCAGGCCTGTCCATTTTCAACCCATGGTTCTCTGTCGTCCAGCTCCCCCGGGGCCTCTTCCTCACCCTCTTCTTGCTGAAATGTCCTCTTACAGTGTCATGGCACCAACTCTGCTTGAAGCCACTCCTCTTCTTTGGGAACATTTTCTAGCTCCTTCCTGGCTAATCATCCCTTCCCTGATGGTTTCATCACCCCATGTACATTATTATTGCTTTATTTATGTTCTTTATTAATTGTCTGTTTTCTGAACTAAACTTTAAACACCATGGCAGTGTTTTTGTAATAGTTTTTTTTGTTTGTTTGCTACTATTTTCAGAGTTAGATCCAGGTCCTATAGATCCCATAATTTTATTTTACATCTTGAAAACATACAATTACAGGCTGGCAAAAAGGTACAGCTAGTAAGTGCACTTACCATGCAAGCTTAATGACCTGAGTTTGATCCCTGGATTCCACAGTGGAAGGAGAGAATAGATATTCTAAAGATGTCTTCTGATCCTCATGCAAGTGACATAGCATGTAAAAATTCATGCACATGCATGCTAAAAGCAATCTGACTCTCTCTAGTACTTACAACTGTATTGGACTTAAAGTCTGTTGGAAACTGGTTAAATGCTCGTTATATGGATCTTGTGGTACTCTCTCCAATTGAATTTTAATTTTATGTAAACAACAAAGAGCTTTTAGCATAAATATGTCTGTTAAGTGTTCGGGAAATAATAATACAATAATAAAAAATCATTTTATTGTTCACCTGAATGGGAAGTTTTATTGCTCATGCTGTGTTTACCTCTCAAATCTGACAATCTGCTGTTGGGTTTTTAGGAAATCTGATTAATATGAGGTCAAGCAAAAGCTTACCTACAGCCCTGCTTTGGGGCTTTGGTTTTGATTTCAAGATAATTTTATTTTGAATATCTAAATATTAGAGCACCTTGAGTTCATTAAGGTAGTTAGCATGACGTGAGGATCCCAATTAGTAGTCATGACCATTTACTGTAAATAGTTCCTTAGTTTCCTGCGTACCTTGGATAGACACATATCCTCTGTGTCCATGGGATGCCAATAGTAGAGGGGTAGTGAAAAACTCTGCACTGAGTACTGGGCGATATTCTGCCAAAAAATTGCAAACAATAATGACAGTGAGTGAAGACTGGCTGGCTTTTTATTATTGTGGTGTATTGACAGGTCTAAAGAATGTCAATAATAACGTTAATACTCTTCCTTGCTGGACGAGGTTCTGCATCTGCCCACCTTCATGCCAAGCTCTGTTTCAAGCTCCTGTCTCTAGCAGAGTGCTGGTATAAGTGAGAGCAGAATGATTCTTCTGTAAATATTTGTGATCTAAATTTGCCTCTCTGAGTGCTTGATTCATAAGAGCCACTTTATTATGAGGTTTCCTGACTTCTTCAATCCAGTTTTTCAAATTTCCCATTTTTCTTCCAGTTCTTCCACTTTTTGCTAACCAAGTCAGTATCTGAAGTCATATTTTTTCCCATCTCCATCATCTCCAACAATAACAGAAATGCTTCAAAAATGCAGGTTCAAATTTTTCTCCTGTGTTTTCTTTAGTTTCCAATATATGGTCTTCATAGTTTAGTGCTACCCATTTTGCATACCAGCTGAGTATTTTAAATTTTGAATCAAATGAGATGAAAAATTTATTATGTCTTCAAAGCATTGTACAAACAATGGACAATCATAACTCACCTGAAGTGGTAGGTGTTTTAATTATTTACCATTTGCAGCCAAGGCACCAAGAACTGCAGTGACTACTGGTCCAGGCTCACAAGAAGTCATTGGTGCAACTGGTATGGGACTTCACCGCATTTTGGAGCCTGGATCCATTTGTATCTTATATTTTATGTGTGTTATTTGTATTTATGCTCAAGATTAAAAGTTGCTAGCTTTATCATTCCAATTTCCAGTGGAAGAAACTGTGGCTTACTGGGACAAAACAATGGGTTGAAATTCACCAATTTGGTCAGCAATTTTGGGGAGGTTAAACCAAGATACATCATGAATGATGCGAACCATTGACTTTGCAGGCAGAAAACAATGAATGAAAGGCAGACAGCCAAAGACTGAGTTCCTAACAATTGTAAGTGTAACTTTAGGTCTTGAGCCATGGCAGTACTGTGCAAAGTCCTGCTGTCTCTCCACCCCCAGGAAACATGTCTGTCATGCTAGGTGGGATGGTTCGTGTCTAAGTGTAGGCACCTTAGAGACTGTCAGTCCTCTAGTCCTCTTTCTGTCTTGAACCTGCTTCACTCTAAAAGACAGCACATTGATAGAAAAATAAAACAAAAGGATCTTTAGAAACTTTTGCTTGAGTTTCTTGATCACATTGATTCCATCACCAGTTCAGATATGTAGTAGTAGTTCTGCATTGTTGTGTTTTTCTACAACACCATATCTCATTGTTTTTGGACTAAAATTCTCAAAGTAGAGAAAATGGATATTTTTCTGTGAATCATTATTTACTGATTTGCTGTGTTAAACAGCAGCAACAACAAATGAAATAAAAATCATGTTCTAGGCCTGGGGGTGGCTCAGTGTCTAGAAGTGCTTGCAACACAGCCAGCTGCAGCAGACCAGGCATCCGTTAATCCCTTCATTCCTCTATGGCAAGATGGGAAAGTGAAGCATGATAACCTCTAGAAGACAGAGGGCTAGTGAGCCTAGGGAGTGCGACATCATCCTCTGACCTTCACTTGGCCACTGAGGGACACACACACACACACACACACACACACACACACACACACACACACACCAACAAAAACAACCATACACACATACAGAAAACATCTGTTCAAGTACAAAAAGCTTACTAGAAGGAAGCACAAGCCTGAGTGTTCATCTTGCAATTTCCACCCCTCCTGCATGCTGTCTGGCCCCAGTTTTCATTATCCCATCCATTGTTTCTGCATTTGCATCATGCAACTTTAGACACTTTCCCATGTGCTTGTAGGAATTATGTTAAGATTGCTTTGGATAAAATGCATAGAGCCAATACCTGAGAAGTTCCCTGAGCTCTTTTTTTTGTGTGTGTACCGTCTAGATAAGAGCAAAGCCCAAGAGATCAAGGATAAAAGTGGAAGTGGGAACATAACACAGACACGAGCTGGCTTTGAAAAAGGGTTTGAGACTAGGGCAAAAAAATGGTTTGTTAGTTTATGTTTCTCTTCATCCTTGCTACAATCATTGTCTCTGGAATGAATTCATATTCCACATCATTTTCAGTTACCTTTATAGCCTTTCTTATAAGAATGAGAAATGAAAATTTTAATGCCTCATATATTCTATGAATTACTGTAGGTGGCTAGACTGCACTACTCTGATCTTTCCTATATTCTGTGGTTTGATTGGATCGTGATGTGAATGGAAAACAGCACAAAACAAATCAGTTTCTGAGAGAACGACTTTAACAAGAAAAGGGAAAAGGTACCTTGGTCCACTTCAGAATATTACATATGTGGCAGGAAGAGTCCTGATAACAACCCCGGTGTCCAACTCGAAATGATCTCAGTCTGTCTGATTGCTACACATTCTGACCTGAGAATTCATTGCTAAAAAATGACGATCAAGCTTTGGAAGAAATAACAATTTATTGTCATTTACATTTATGTTTCTGCCTCCCCTGAGGCTTAACCCAGCATTTTGCACATAGAAGGTGCATGGTGTAGGTGAAATGAGAAAATGAATGAGTGAATGCATGCATGGACTCAGCGTTAATATGCTGAGATAAATGGGACCACCCAGATAGATTTTTCTATTTCTCTTCATGTTTCTCTAATGCAAATTAGCTCATAGTCAGTAAATAGAAGAATCATGTTATTATAATGCAGAAGTTGCATTGGCTCATAAGCACTTTTTCCAGCATTTAAATGATTTGTGTCACCAAGCAATGTCAATCTCCAAGTGTACCACTAGAGCAGAACTTAGCGTGTAGACTGTGAGCACCAAGCGAGCGGGGCAGTGTCTACCCTGGTGTTTCCTCTGCTCCTTCTGACCATGTGTTGGAATGGAAGGCCATACTATGTGCTTTCTCTGAGAATGGGTGTTTTATCCCACCTCCTTTGTGTCCCCTCCTTTATTCAAGCTTTGGTAAAAGTAAAATATTGTCTGTTACAGTATTAGTTTATTTTAGAAATTCACTGTGTCTTTTTTTGTCAGAATTTATTTTGCTTCTATTAACACCCTGGTTACAAGCCACATGGATTTGGAAATCATTCTCCCTATCTCCTCCCAAATACTTCATTTTACTCTAGGATGTTGAAGATCATGGCATCCCCCTCCTCCCAAGAATGTTATAAACAATGAGTTAGTTGAGGAAGTGAATTACCCTTGGTAGGATGAAATGAATTAATGTCTCTGTTTTTGCAAGGAAAAAAATTAGTATTTATTTTATTTTTAATTGTGTGTGTGTGTGTGTGTGTGTGTGTGTGTGTGTGTGTGCATGTTTACATGAATGCTGGTACCTGTGGAAGCTAGAGGAGGGTATTGGATCCCCTGGAGTTGAAGTGTTGGGTGACTGAGTTGGGACCCAAACTCTGGCCCTTTCCAAAAGCAGCAAGCCCTCTTCATCACTGCCATCTCTCCAGCTGCTGTGAACCCCGTGACAAAAATGGCATCTTAAAGCACCAGAGTTACAGATGATTTTGAAGATCATGTATTCTTACTCATCCCTTAGGAGGTGAGGGAATGTCATCAGGGGTAGGTAAGCTGCTCAGCATTGTCTCTTGGTATGGACAGAGATTGGCTCCTGTGTCAAGCACTTTCCTCACTTTTGGACACTGAGTCCCTTCCAATGCTGTGTACACATTACTGTACCTTTTCTCGTGGCAATGCTGGATTTTACTAATGTTAAAGTGAAGGCTTCTTTCCTTGACAGCAGCTGTGTCCGGAAACCTATGGCTCCTGCTTTGTCTGGGTAGTTCCCATGTGCACCTGCTGTTCCGGTTGCTAACTGCTCATAGTCTGTATTCTTGACAGTAATCTGTCTTCAAGACAAATGATAGGTGTCATTAGTTAGGAGGCACTGCCAAGACTTCACAAACAGCATATGCTTTTCACTTCCCCTCTGCATATTCAATTCCTAGCCACCCTTACAGGCAATGCCTAACTTTCAGTGACTGACAGAACCCTTCATCAGCTCCATAGCATGTAGTTGCTTCTTGGGTGTTATCTGCCAGTCTCTAATGCTGTATCATCTGGAACATTCCATAGTTTATTTCAATGTTTCCTGCGGGGACACTGCTTTGTTTTGTGTGTAGTTCTCTCTAAGGTTGGAGGATACCTTACAGTGATGGATGTAAACAAGTTCTCCCAGTGTTGTGACACCTTCATACATCTTAAACTATTTCTAACCTACCTGCCTACTGGAAAAGCCACATTCACATCCCCCAACACCACTTACAAGCCATATTTAAGACTGCACAGTCTCAATGGGGCAAGAGCTGGTTTTGCTTTGGTACCTTTTCTCTATGGATTACCACCACTCACCCACCTGTGTCCCCCATGGCTATTAGTACAATGAATGACCTAAAAGAGTTATTGTAGGCATCTGATACAGTGCAATATTTGTGTTATAAATGAGAAGAAATGGAGATGCTGAAGTGAAGTTGAGAAGATGCCTGAAGCTTGTTAGCAAACCTGGCCCTCTCTGCACTCTTACAATTTCAGAATCAATACACGTCATAAAGGACCAAAGCAGCAAAGAAAGACAATGAGGTGTTCCCACCAACTTCACCTTATGCTGAGCTACAGAGTTAGTGACAACCAGGGACCTTCCTGTTGACCACAGTGGCCAGGCTTATGACTTTTGCCATTTTCCTTCCCTTCCTTCTTCTACTTGTCTCCTGTACTTCTCCCAAGAATCATAGCTAACACACTCTCAGTGACTTCCTGGGTGCCACTTTAAGATTTTATATGAGTTACATAAATGAATATATGCCAGCAAACAGTAGACACTGCTTCCATGCAGCAGATAGAGAAACCAAGGCAAAGGATGGGCTAAGTCACCTGTTGAGTTTAGAAAGGCAGTGCTGTGGATTCTGGATTTGAACTCAGGAAGTCTGATGTCATTACCCCAACACCACAAGAGATGCTCTCTGTCATCCTGGGACTGACGTGGTCAGTTTTTCTGACTTGGGAAAATTTCTCATGGTTCTCCTACCCATTTGCATTTACAAGATAACACCAAGTGTTAAATTCACAATTATGTATATCTGTTATTCTTCAAGGACATTTGATGACATCTTTTTAGTTTCGATTCAACCCAGAGAGGTAAGCGCAGTATGATGGTGTACAGACCTGTACAGGGAGGCAATCATATGCAATCCATAGAGGGACAGGATGATGAGGTGGCTTAGAACACTGGTGTCTCAAGGCTGAATTTCTTGGGTTCAGCTCTTGGCTCTACTGCTTATTATCTGTGTCTGCAGACATTGCCAGATCTCCAACATGAGAGTAATACTAAGATGTATCTCAGAAAGCTATTGTAAGGCTTTGTAGTATAAAACATCTCATACTAAGACCTGAGCCCATCCTGAAATCCATTTTGTTGATGATGTTAGTGCACTGTTTCTCAGACACAGAAGAAACTGCAGTCATCTTTAGTTTTTGATTATAGACATTGAAATCTAAATATAGACTGCCATTGAGCTGATGAGCAGGAAGCAGCAAGACCCGGACCTGAGCAATGGATTAGGAACTCAGGTTTTTACCTCATGCCCAACAAACACTATGCCACTCCAGATTTCATGGCAAACAAACACCAGAGGCACTTGGAGCAATAGAATTAGAAAATAAATTAATAAATAAATAACCTACTCCATTGCAGAGAGAAATGTATAGCTGTCTATTTCCCTCAGTGACATTCAACTATTAAAGGAAATAATTCTGTTTTATTGGCTTCTTGTAATCAGTGCGATATGACCTTTACTGGATTAATCTTTCATTCTTTTGCTAACTAATTTACTCTAATAATGTGGTAAGATGCTTTATGGTGTAAAAACACCTTTGGGTATTGGGCTTGCTATAACAGCCTGCATAAAACCATTATAGTTGGATATATAGAAGGGGTAAAATCTTAAATACAAATTAGTAACCATGAGATGTAGAGAGACTATTTTGATGTTGGAAATTTGCCTCCTTTCTTTGTTCAAAGACTCTCTCTCTCTTTGGCAGTAATCTTTCAAGGGAGATGTTTGGTTATTTTTGTCACCTTTACTTCTGCTATTTTTAGATATTTTCTTTTGCTTTGAAAAAAAAAACAAATCAGAGCAAGTCCAGCACAGGCTAGATATTATTTTTTATGTAGTCCGGTAGTAGACCCCAAGGCCTATAACTGTTCTGCCAACCTTGTTGATGGTGAAACCGATGCAAAGCAGCATGCACGTGACCTGTTTACTCTAGGAATCTAAGTTGAGGGGCTTTACATAGCGGGTGACTAGGTTAGGGGTATAAAACAATGGTGGTTTTTTCTGGCACTTGGAATTTTTCAGTTTTTACATCTAGTGGGGTCTAGGTAGGAAACACTGTCCAGTGGGCAAGCACCAGGAATATTCCAGGTGTCCTGTAGCCCAATAACTCTTAACTTCAGTCACCCTTTAAGCAGCCTCCAGAACATTCAGTCAACTCTGTGGTTTTAAATTTCCTTTCTTGGTCTCTTGATAATAAAGTGAACAGCAAATGGGTTGGACTGTTCATGTAAACTAACACTGTTTTAAGCAATTTTCATACAGAAAATTTAATCATCATGATTCTGTGAGGCAGGTCTAGGTATCTCGACTTATAATGAGGGCAGGAGTGCCCAGGCATGGATTCTGTTTCAGGTGCTCTGGATAGGGACTGTCTTAATGCTTTAAGGGTCTAGCATATGAACTGAGAGAACTGGGGCACTTTGCTCTTGTCTCCTCTGCAGATTGTGTCTTGGTGATCACATTTTCAATCACTCTAATAGTCATCCTGAGTACCTGCTCTGAATTTAAATGTTCTTTCATCCAATTCCTCCTCTCCTACTAAACCCCATCTCAGTGTCATCTGTCTGCACCACACATCTCAATTGTAGCATCTCCTGTCACCTCCAGGTCTCTAACCTTCCCCACCACCCTTCCCTCCTAAGGAACAAAACTACCCCCCAGAGAGTTAGGCTGGAAGCTTACCCCTCTGTCCTACAGTTGGTTCTTTAGTAAGTCTCATCTGGCTTCTTTTAAAAAATGTGTTGAAACATTTTCTCTCTCCCTTTTATCTACCATACTCTTAGTCTACACCTGTGGTCCCAATTATTTATCTCTGGTTCATTTTCCATGTTGTAAAAATCACCAAAACCTAGAATATTCCATCATTTGGACTTGTTATTTAAGTGACATCAATCTTAAATTGCTGTCTCTGAACTTAGAGCACAATTTTGCCATGGCGTACAGAGGCCTACATTATCTGACTTCTTATCTCTTCAGCATCTTGTATTAGTCAAAGTTTTCTAAAGAAAAGAAATGGGTACAACACACACACACACACAAGCACACACACAAGCACACACACATATACACACAAGTGCACACATATACACTTAAGCACATACACATATACGCACATACATACAAGCACACACATGCCCCCACACAAGCACACACACACACACAAGCACACACACATGCACACACACATGCACACACACACACACACACACACACACACAACACACACACACACACACACTTAAACCAGATTTATTAGAGTGGCTTATAGGCTCTTGTTCAGGCAGCACAGTGATGGCTGTCTCCCAATGAACAGGCCAAGCATCCAGTAGTTGAAACACACACACTCTCTCTTTTTCCTTCTGTGTTTGTGTGCCTATGTATTTAAATAAAAAAAGTCATGAAGCTGAGAGGCAGTGGGTGGGGACAGCAGGAGATGGAAAGGGGAGTGAAGAATGGAAATTATGTAAATACATGTATGTGTCCTCCAGACAAGACAGGTCTGATGCACATATTAGCTCATAAAAACCATGGCAGTATGCACAGGGTCTGCATAGACTTAAGTCACACAGGGTTCTATTCCTCAGAGGGGAAAGTGGACGTGGGCTTCCATTTCTAGCCAAGAAGCTATTTGCAATTGACATCTGAATGCAAAAGGAAAATTAGTTTTTGCATCAGAGTCTCATTGGATGTATTAACTATACCTCAGGTCAGCAGTAGATGCCAACACAAACAGACTCACTGGTATTTCTGTAGGCCTTTTACCTCACATTGCTTTGTTTGACCTTTTTTCCCCTTCTTATTGGTCTTTTGCTTGTATGTTTTGGTGCCTGGTTTTATATTTTTGTGGGTTTTTTTATGTATGTGAATTTCTTGTGTGTGTTTTTGTTTATTTGTCTTTATTTTTAAAAGAGAGAAAGAGAAAGAAAGAGCAAGTAGCTAAGGAGGTGAGGAGGATCTGGGAGGAGCCGAGGGAAGAAAAAAGCATGATGAGGATATGTTTTATAATTTTTTTCAATTAAAAAAGAAACCTCATGCATGAAATTCTCAATTTATAATAAAGAAGCAAGAAGGAAATTTTGATAGAAACAATAAGTACTCCATTCTCTCTAGCCACCTTATTTATGTTTTTGGCTATTTCTAGTGCCACATTCTTACTACCTGTTCAACAAGAGGCCATCTTCCTTCATTATTTACAAGACTCATTTTTACAAGACTCAGTGACATTTTCTACTCACATCTCAGCCTCGGCTCTTCTGCTCTTTCTCCTCTCCCAGCATCCTCACTCTTTCACACTGGCTTTCTTTTCAGCATGGTCAGGAAGGGTTTTAGGAGAGGCCTCCCCTGTGCCATTCCCTCCAATATTTAAATGGTTAATTTTGCTTTGCAACTCTGCAATATAAGCACATCTCATTTCTTTGTTAAAATTTTCTTCATGTTACCAGTAATGTTCTAGTTGTCAAGTTCAATAAAATCTGTCACAAGAACTCTAAAGAACTCTGCCCATGTTAGGCCACAGCTTTTTTTTATTTTTATTTTTCTTGAAACTCACCTATTGACTTCCCAGGATTCTGACTTCCCTTCCCAGCATTTTACCATTTTCTTCATGGGATTTTAATTATCTTACTGTTGAATTAGTGTGCATTCCTTCATAATTAATCTTCCCCATTAGGCTTTTCCTTTCGTACAGTCTTCCCTCTGAGATTTTATTTACTTCTAACTCAGCTTAAACTTCTCTCCCTTCCATATCAGCTCTACCTTTCAGTTTTAGCTTTTATGTCATCACAATCTTACGAGGCCTCCAGTTGGTCTATCCATTGTCTTGATCCTCCTACCTAGTGTTCCCAGATTGTAATATATAACTTGGCACACAACAGCCACTCAATGAATGCTTGTACTGGATATGAACAGCCATCACCTAAATTCTAGATTGGTATGAGGAATGTCACTAAATGCTAGCAATAGTCTCAACCAGGATCAGTTCTGACTAATTTTTACCAACCCTTATCACATGTAGGTCTTCCTACTTTCACTGTCTAAATTTGTGCAGGAGAGGCAAGCTGGTTTTATCTTCTGAGACAATCCCGTTGAACTAAACGGGATTCTGCTAAAATCATCAAGAAAGAATCTGAGATCCCACTAGTGCTTAGTAATAATCAATTTATCAATAGCTGGAGCAGATATGAGAAGACAAAGGTAGACAATTGTGTGGTGATCCTACAAACTCCTGGCCTATGAGATAAATACCTGTGCTGTTAATATTAATCGAAACCTGATTTTAGCTTCATGGTTCATCACTCACACTTTCCTTTAACTAACACCGAGTTACTCATAATTCCTAATGTTTTGCTTAGGCAAAACCCATTATTCATCAAACAAATCTTTCAACTTTCATGTTATGATTATTCACGTGTTTTCCCGACTTAGAAACATAAAGCACTAATCCACTGCTGACCTGTTATCTCCTCCAGTTTTCATTTTTCTCCACAAAGCCTTCCCAGAACATCTTACTCCAGAACATCTTACTCCAGCACATCTTACTCCAGAACACAGGCACCTGGAGTCCTGGATCCAAGTTGTCTGGACTTTTCACTTAAAATTTCAGCACACAATCCTTTCAGATATTTCTCAGGATATTTTGGCTGAATTACTGAGTGAGTGCCTCTTGTAGTACCAGTTCTCTTTGTTTATATTCAGTTATGTTTTAAGGGGGTCTTTGTGCCTAGTACATATGCAACTTGCTAATGTTTGACTGCTCTGTGTAGTACTCTCCCTGGTTGCAAAATTGTTTGCCTAACAAACTACCTTTCTTATAGCAGGGATTCCCAACAGGTTTTATTTAGTCATTACTTGGCCCAGAATATATTTTATGATTTATTTATATCATTGTATTTAGTCTTTGTAAAAACCACAAGGTTTAAATACCTAATATTAAAATGCACAGATACTGGGAGGTTTAAGAAGAATGAAGAAGAAACAAAAAGTTTGTTCAGAATTAGCAATGCTGATAGTAATTGCTGAACGCTTGGTTCAAATGAACAGAAGGGACATCAAAGATGTCCCTGGAGAATGCATTGAAATACTTATTTCTGTAGATAATCAAACCCTGTTAACCAGAAGAGCTATTGCAGAGTACTGACTGTTTATGGTCATTGGCCATTGTGACAAACAGATGCCAGGTCTCCCATGAACACAACCAGTATTCTCACCACAAGCCACAGCATTGCCAGACTGTTTTCATCAGAGAAATCTACTTGTGAGATTCAAGTTGTAGATTTTATAGTGTGGACTAGGACTTAACTTTTCCAAGAGATAATTATTCTTTCCCCAGTGTTCTGAGCATCAGGAGAACTAAAACACTCCATGGTTCTTAATTGAAATGGATTCTGATGGATATCTGTGGGCCTGCCTCACAGATCAGCTTGCACTTGGATGTAATATATCTAGGTCAAAAGCAATCCTTGAGAAGAATTCAGACTTGGAGAAGGTCATACACCTTTGTCCCTTCTTAAATAACTGTAAAATGTTCATGAAGCGACTCAAAATCTTTAGAAGACTTCCTAGAGCAAATACAACCTGAACAATGCAAGAGTGCCAAAGCCTATCTATGTGTCTACAGGATGTCCTGAAATACTTCACAAAGGTGCAGTTTAACTGCAGCCATCATGGATCCCCACTTGGGGGCACCAAAATGATGCCTCTGTTTTCTTTATTTCTCATGGACGGATTATTTTACAATGATTCTGTATGCAATTATTTTAGTATGAGGACAAGTTGGTAATGGTTTATATTTATCATTTATTCAAACAGCTTGATTTTAATGCCTGTTATCTCTCTATTAATGAACTAGAAACTGGCTGCTTGCAATACTGGGTCATGTCCTCCTGATGGGTAGAACACTGGGCCAGGAATCAGCCTTCTCTGGAGCCAGAATGGAATCAGAGTTTCAGGGACCTCGGAGGTTAAAAACTGACCTCCTGCTAATTCACAAATACCTTCTACAACGCCCCTGGCAAGCAATCATCCACTTCCAGGTCTGGGGGACTGCTGGGTAATTGTGTGATTAAGCAAACTGCTTAGAAATACATTATAGAATCATAGGGTAACAGAGTAGAAAAGGACCTTAGAGATGAGCAAGCCAACCCTTGACTCAAAGATGCAGGCTAGCAAGGTCAAGTGACTCACTCACATCTGAAGGTTAGCAGAGCAGCCAGAACTACGCTTCTGAGAGCCTGAGTCAACTGATCATGCCAGCACTATACTTCTCTGTTGGTTAAACTGTAATGGCAACTATGAATAGAAAATGAAGAGGAGCCATTGCACACCAAGGATGCTGGACATATTCTGATTATGGAGTTACGGCGTGGCTTGGTGGTAAGAGGGAAGTAGCTACAGTTGTAGATTCAGTTAGAAATTAATCAAGTCAAGCAATGCATTCCAATCCTAAATTGTGTCATGCACAAAAATAATATTGCTTTAGGGACCACTTTCAGGAGAATGGTGGTAGCAATCACTAGAGTTGAACAAGAAATACTCATCTTCCCAATGTTATTGGCTTGCCCGCAGGATTAGAGGAGTTCACTCATTAATCCACACTATTCATTTGGGTTTCACTTTTTCATTTTTTTCAGGCTTATCTCATAGATATAAGTAACTTTTAAAATACATGTATCTCCCCGTCGAACTGAGATACTGTCAGCTGTAGCTCCTTATTTGAACAGCTTGAGGACTAATTTGAATCGCACTTCACTTGTGGGTGTTCCAAAAGCTTGTGCTATCTCAGGGAGTTGCCTTGTGGAGACATTAAAGATGTTTTTCAAATGAAGCACATCAAGATTCTCTAAATTACATATGGTTTGATCTAGGAAAGGACAATTGGAGCCTTCATTAAAATAGATTTATTCCAACTGCATGTATGGAAATAAATTTTCTTGAGATAACTTGGTCTATGCCCATCCAGATTGTAGCATTTCCCTAGTTTCTAAATTAAATGTTTCTACATGTGAATCTTGGCTCTCTGTTGGAATATATTAAAAGGCTTAGTCATCATTATTTTCAGCACCCCTGAATTGAGTCAGGTTTCTCAGGAGCTTGGAATCGTGGAGTCTCACTTTGATTTTGTTCACTTTCAATTGTCTTCTCCTCCTCTCTCGTGTTTCTGCTTGTCCTTTCTTTCATCTATTTTAGCCTCAGTTCCGAACTATACTAGTGTCTGTTGCAGAGAAACTTGGTGCTCTCCATGCTGTTGCCTTTAAGTGTTAAGTCTCTCTGGAGTAGAAGGAAGAGACTCCTGCTTTAAAGGGGGAAATTTTCTACACTGTTTCATTTCAATAAAGAACCACAAGAAAATTCTTCTTAGGTTGACTTTTAAATTAGGAGAAAAATCACAAAAAGATTCAGTAGCTTAACCAATGTCACCAGGATGATAAATACTAGAGCTGTGGTTTCATGCTGGGCTTTTCCCACTCTGAGGCCCATGCATCTGATATCATATCATGCCTCTGCCATAAGTTTGATTTAGGTCAACAACAGACCACTTTAAAACACAGACAAACAAAACCTCACCCATCTCACAATTTATCCAAGAAATACTTAAGAAATGCTTTGTACTTCCCTTCTCCCATGAAACAGTTCCACTTAATCATCTGAATCATATGCTGCTATTTACTCTTACCTTTGATCACATAAAAGCATGATGATTGCTAACAACAATGAAAACTTAGCAAAGCATGTTATCTATGCTATAGTCATTTAAGCTCAGATGAAGTATAAGAACAAAATTAACATTCAATGTATGGATGAGCTTAGCTTTACTAAGAGAATAAAAAGGACTGCATATGAGATCCAGCTGAGTCTATTCACTTTATACAGTAACTGGGACCCAGTGGAAAGTTAAAATGTCACAGTATACAAAAACTGTTATTGATGAACTTATTAAGGCCACTCCATGTAGTTAAAAGGAGGTTTATTTTGTGGAGTAACTTACAAGTGAAGGGATAGGTTGCAGGGTCTGGCGGTGTTCTCTGTAGAACTCTTCTCGGTCTACCTTCAGTGTCCTGGGTCCAGGAACCAAGAGAGACAGTGCATCTAGATCTCGGGTCTTCAGGGTCCTCTCTCAGCCTGCCTTGTAGGCGTGACAGTTACCAAAGCCTTAATGGGGGGGAGGGGGGTTGGAATTTCCAGATCAAAGCTGGAATGGCTATCCACTGCAAACTGTCATTACTATTGGATGCTTTTGGTTAAATTATGAACATGTATCATACTGATAATGGGACAACAATTTTATTTTGAATTTGTGTTATTTTACTTTGTTGATTTGTATTAATTTTATTTTGACTATTCATTTATTAGCACAAGCTCTTCAGACTGGGAAGTCAGTTGGAATCTCAAAACCAAAATGCTGACTGAAATGAGTTGAAAACCATCGCCTCATCTACAAAAACGTGAATCCAAAAAATTAATGTGCCAAATTGTTCAGCACTATATTTCACACATGATTTACTCTAATTAATAGGTGTTGTGATGGTTTTATCTGCCTTTCTAGAATATAAGCATTTTGGAGGCAAGATATACATCCCAAACAGCATTGCACTCTCCATGGCACCAAGGCACGATGGAGAAGAAATGCATTGAACACTGATGATAGTTTTCTAGCATGTTGTACATGTGGAAAAGCCCTGTGCACTGTATAATCTAGCTCTGCATTACCATAATGGATATCAATTATTGCTGAAAAGCACCTCCTGTATCATTTGTGTCCCATTTAGAAAAGGGCTTGGTCAGAACAATAATTTTAAATTGCAGTTACTATTATCTTATGTAGGGACATGCTAAGTGAAAGGGTTGTATCTGCATGGGATAAATAATAGTCTTGCTGATCAGCTGGAAGTTTCTGGAAGTTCATCTGTGTGTCCTGACTTTTGATCACTATACTTGACACAGGGTTGTGGATGAATTTCTAAATGATCTTATTAAATAAACAACATGGAGCCAGATATATGGGTGAAAGCCTGGGAGAGATCAGGGAAATATGGAAAGCCACCAGCCAACCTTACCTCACCAATTCTGCAGCTTCCAAATGAGAGTTACTTCCTGTCTACTCACACCTTTATGCCTTGCTGTTCTGACATCTGATTTGCTCTCTCCTTTCAGCTATAACACTTCCTCTTCCTACCCAGCTCTGTTACTTCCTGTCTGTCTGTACAGACCTTCAGACCTTCATGGTTAACTTGTTTTGCAATTTAAGGCCTGTGCTCTGTTTTCAGTGTGGTCTTAAACACATAGAGATCCTGCCTGCCAAGTGATAGGATTAAAGGCATGTGCTAACATTGCATGACTTCTGTGCTGTGGCTGGCTTTTTCCTCTGATTTCTAGGCAAGCTTCATTTATTAAAGCACAAATAAGCCGGGCAGTGGTGGCGCACGCCTTTAATCCCAGCACTCGGGAGGCAGAGCCAGGTGGATCTCTGTGAGTTCGAGGCCAGCCTGGGCTACCAAGTGAGTCCCAGGAAAGGCGCAAAGCTACACAGAGAAATCCTGTCTCAAAAAACCAAAAAAAAAAAAAAAAGCACAAATAAAACATCACCACATTTCAGCACAAATAAAATGTCACTACACAGGGTCCTATTGGTTTTCTCACACTTTCCAACTAGAGGAAACACAGATTTCAGCCTTGCCTTGCCACAGGTTTTCTGGTACTCTACTTGTCCTGTAGTTCAGGAGGTAATGACTGTGCTTGTTTTAATGTGGAGGTTACAGACTGCAACAGATACTCTTTTAGCATTTTCCTACTCTTGTTTGGGAACCATCAAACTGATTCATTTCCAGATGCAGAAAACACTATTTTTCTCTGCCTGTGTAAAACTGTACTCGTGGGAGTCCATTCCCTAAAGACATCACATTGAACTCTTTCTTTTTAAGAGATTCCATTGAAGCCAAATGAGAATAATTGCTAGGCTTTCTTTTTGCCCATTTTGAAGGGGAAAATGTACCCTAACTTATGTTAAAGAGTTATGAATAGCTTAGCTAATAGAAAGAGGGTAAGCCAAATCAACAAAGAGGGCTAACCACTGGACTTGAGTGGAAGCCTACGTGCTGGAATAGAGAAAAGGACTCAGACGATCCCTCCAGTAGCTTTTTTCTACTATAACAAAATGTAGTCCTGCTTGTCAGCCCATCTGTATTTTCTCTTCATCTAATAAACTAGCTAGGCCAGAGCTGCAAAGGAACATTGTAATATTGACAATGTTGCTGGAAATCCGTGTGCTTTAGAATGAATTAACTTTTGCTGCACTACTGAACATATGAAGAAAAATTGGCTCAACAGAAAAAAAAATCACATTATCCTCCCTCTCCCTTTTGGGTGATGGGACTCAGTACTGCAATCAAAATGAATAGGATCTGATACAGAAGGTGGTGGGTTTGTTGGCGCTGAAGACGCCCATTTTGACACACCCTCAGGCTATAATACATTACAGAGCTCCAAGAAATGTCTGAGCAAGTTTCTGGTTGGTGTGAATCGAGTCCCAGGTAAACTGTTGTGAAATAAGCAAGTTCAGGTGCTACAGAGGTTAATGTGATGGTAATTGTGTCCACACTAAAGCAAAGGAACACTATGCCTTTGTTTTAGCTTAATGTCCACATTCAATCACTCTAACAATACATTCTTCCAGCAGGTTCTCAGGGCTAGTTGAGGATAGATTGCATTCTTCTATTAATTTTCCGTTTCAAACCCCTCAAGATGTCTGTTAAAGAGAACATGCTGGGATTGACATGCATTTTAGGTTTACTCCTATATGTAATTTCACAATGAAGTGATTTAGTTCTTATCTTCTCGAAGTCCCCACATTGAGTTACATTTCACTTAACAAAGTCTTTAAGTGATCTCCAATTAATAGAACACACACACACACACACACACACACACACACACACACACACATCTTTATACACATATTTTTTAGGCTATGATAATTAATAGTATCTAAAGTATTTCAATAACCATGTTATTAGATAAGATGTCTTATAAGCATTATCTTTTAAAACTATTATTATGTTCATGCATATTGTGGGTACAGTTGATATGTGTATAAAATATGTCTTTTTAAACATTAAAAAACATTTTGATTAACAGGCATGATGATGCATACTTATGAGATATGGTATGACATTTCTGTGTATGTAGACAGTGTTCATAGATCAAATCACGATTAATATTTCCATCTTACATTGTGCTGCATGCCACCAGGTTCTCATACTTGGACTGTAGCTCCTGGAGCTTTTTCTCTGACAACCATAGATACTGCTGCTGTCTGCTAGGTACCTGGGCTGGGGACCAGGCCCCTTGCTTTGTCCCTACTCCTGCCTCCCCATTCCAGCAGTCTCCAGTTTGCCCCTACAGCATCCTCAGGACCTTGTTGCAATTCACTTTCTCCCAATTCCCCAGTGGCAACTGAAATCAACTCTAATCATTGAAATCAGGAGGAAACCATGAAATTAGTGCTTTAGAGAATAGAAAAGGAATTGTTTGTCTGAAAGGATCTTAAACTGAACTGCTGGATATTTGAAGCTGTAATTTTTGGCAAAAAAAAAACTATATTGAAAAGCCTTATAGAAATGTGTAAGGAATGGAACCTGCCATTTTGAAGCAGATAGGGGAAGGCTTCCCCCCCCCCAACCCCAGTCACAGCAGTAGGACGAAGTGGTCACATAGCAGAACTTTAGAGTAGAACAGCTCCAGACTGAAGTCCATGTCTTTTCTTGTAATTCAACTGCTGCAAGTGCTTTAAGATACCCAACAAAGCAGGATTAGTGTTAGTTTATTAGGAATATGTAAACTTTGTGAGACAGTGCAGTTCTGCAGAAATATTATCAGTTTTACCTCCTCACACCAGACATAGCTAGCTAGGTCCTCCAGGGGTCATGCAGCAGGACCATGGATTGAGACTTTCTGAGATGAAGCTCTTTGTCCTAGCATGGCCAGAGACACCTTTAGTGAGAATCAGATTCAGATCAATCTTCTACTACTCCCACTTCACCTCATGGAGTGGCGTCCTCAAAAAGAGGCCCCTATTTATTTTGTTCGGTGGCATAGTAGCTTTTACCAAGAGCATTAAGAAACTTGAAGTAATTCATAAATGGGCATTGTATAGGAGAACTGTATTTTCAAGTCATATATTTTTCTGACTGCCAGCTTGAACTCAACTAAAATGCTTATGAAAAATGATTGATCCTCAAAGCTCCAGAAAGGGACTCCAGAGTTCTACCTACTGCTGTACCAGCCCATGATGAGACCATCACTCAAAGTCTGTAAGAGTAAACAAACAAACAAACAAAAACCCACAAAGGTGGTAAGGACACATTTTAAGCAGAAATATATTCATGCAGTAAGGCACAGGTTCTAGACTGAACTGGTATCAGATTTGATGTTTACAGAGGTGAGTAGATCTTTAAGATGATAAATGAAAGAGAAGGGATGAGAGCAATCAGGGCTCCCTGATTGAGAGAATCAGAGAAGAAAACATCACAAACGGAGATTGTGGGTCATTGGTGCATATGAAACCATCTGTTCTCCCTGCCTGGCCCTTATTAACAGCAGGCTTTCCCACAAAGGCTCTAACTTCAGGATCTGGCTGGAACAAAGACAAAATGCTTTTGATGTTCACAGTTTTTACAGGCAAATTCTTTAATGCTATGGGGAATAAGAAGATTCTAGAAAGCAACCTTAGATTGTTAGACAGTATGTTAGTGTTTACCCAAGTTTTTATCTTTTTACCTTCAGTGTTGGGATGAAATCTATGGCCTTGTGCATGCTAAGTTAATACTCTGCCATTGAACACTGTCCAAGTTTTTATAGCTCATAGCTAGGACCCACTGAAGAAGAAAGCCTATAGGAGCCTCGCCAGAACTCGATCAAGGAGGCAAACTTTGTCAGATCTCAGTTCTTAAAAGTTTCCTGTCTGTATTCTTTTGCTGATTCCACGTTGTAGTGTATGAGAAAAGAGGCCTCAAGAGTATAGAGACATTGTTTCACAGAAGAAAACCAATTGAAGGCCGTTGGTTTCCTCAGTGTTCTTTAGCATTATCAAATGTAATGCAAAATTCCTCAGCTGGACCCCTCTTTGTGAGTTTATTAAGAAC